TGACGTGGCGTGATACTAGTCACGTGACCTCGATGTTGTAACAGTTCTTTTAGCCTGATCAGAGATGGTCTTAAGGCAAGCAAGTGTCTATGACCACTCGATATGGAGTACTTGCATAGATGTCTTGATGAGTGATTCTGAAAACAAAAATAAAAGACAAAATCCATAAACCATACAGTTGGCCCATGAATGAACGTACTTTATCATTCTACTGTATAACTTACGTCACATTTTGTTTGAATTGCCTGATACTATGCGGTCCGTCCGCACTCTGTTTGTTGCCTTGGTCCCCGTAGAGGTTAATCTGGCTCTGAGTCCAAAGTTCATTTTCGTTTTGACTACGAAAAAATGATACAGAACTGCAATTGATTTTAACAGTTTACTCTTCTTTTGCTTTTCAATTGATATATTTTTAAAATTATTTTATTTATTTTTAATCAGTCTAACGCCAAGTGTTTAAGTAACTGTTGTAGTGAAGCATGTAAAAATTGTTCAATTGTAAGCTCGATTATAACCTACTCTTATTGGTCGAAATGTCGTTAGTTAAACATTAAGACTTATTCTTACTGCAAAGTTGTCTATAATTCTTTGTTATATAGTAAGTATGGTTATCGCATATAGTTAAATGTAAACGAGTTTAAGAAGTAGGGCTGATTTAATAAAAAAGTGTTTACTTAGTGTTTTGTTATTAAATATATACGTCATCTTTAATACAGCTATCGAAAGAAGATTGGCAAGGTCAGTGACAAAAAGTTCATATCAGAATTAGTATTCAAGTATTATCTCATTAAAATACATAAAAAACAAGTCGAATTTCTTGACACCAATTTCAGGTCAATGAGGTCAACATAAACAAATGGCAGACGTTTACACTTCGTCTGAAGATAGTGCTGTTATGTACAAAAATTGTTATAAAAAGTAATTTTAGCATGTTTAAACACTCTAACTATAATAAAATGTCGAGTATATTGTGAATATGTTGACTATATTATATCTGAAACTAAAATACAAAAACTAAAACGTACTACTGAATTGTCTTTAAATGCCGAGAATTTCCTCATCATTTATCATATTTCAAATTAATAGTTTTGAATGTTCAAACTAGTTTTCAACAGTATAAAAGCTTTACATGGCATTTCATAAAACATCAAAATATCTAAGCAATACAAATTTAGGAGGGGTTAAAATAAGGTGTCAAAAATCAAGAAATCTACTTGGGCTGCATTATAACGATAGTTCTGTAATTATTATATAAGAAGTGAAGTTGGAATATTTAAGAATGTTTTTCTGTATACGGCTTTATTTCTATTACATGTTTTATAAGTATAAGTAGACGTCTGATATTTTGTTTCTTTTGACGCCATTGACACCTGGAACTGATGTAAAAAAATATATTTTTTCTACGTATTTCAGTGAGTTATTACTTGAATACCAACTCTGATAATGACTGTTGGGCTCTGATTTTGCCAGTTCTCATTTAAGTGTGTAATTAAATGACGTGAATTAAGGAGCGCTATTCAAGATGCATAAAGTTATATTAGATAATATAGGTAGACATATCGTTTAGGATCCACACATATTTTCTATTTATACTGATTTTAAAAAAGGGGGGTCGTAGTTGTAATTAATGTGGCAAATGGGAAATACCACGCGCGTGTGGGAATCCCGCTATTTGAGGCCACAATGTAATTACACACATGAGAAATGTAAGGGAAGTCAGTATTAAATTTTCGACTTGACCGCGAGCTAACTCATGTTTTTGAAAAACTGGCTCAAAAGCATGAAATTAATACTTGATGACCCGTTGATTTCCAAACTTTCTTTTTACATCATAATGATTACATTATAATGATAATACGATAAAACTGGACAAATAATAAAACCTAATGTACCTACATGTTCGCAATGAGGAAACTAAGATCAAGACATTTAATTTTATATTAGAAACGTTTTGAACATGTTTAAAATGATTTTTAATCTACAAATAAATGATATAGGCAGTTCTTAAAGAAATCATGAAAAAATTAAAAAGAGAGAAAAAAAATGTATATTTTAAAGCCTCTAAAAAACATATACTCTAATTCAAAAATCTTATATTAGACTTCACCTCTAAAAGTAGTACACAGGCATGGTATCTTTGCTTACACCTATTTTTGGTGTGTGTGTGTGTGTCTTACATTAACTTCCTAAGAACAATCTGAACCTTCTTTCAAATAAGAAAAAATATGATAGACGCATGCAAGATACAACATATCTGTAATATTATATTACAACTTCTTGTTCACCTCCATCATGTCTTGTTGTTACATCAATGAGATATGATGAAATTCCTTGTCATGCTCCATCATGTCTTGTTGTGACATCAATGAGATATCATATAACTTCTTGTCCTGTTCCACCATGGCTTGTTGTTACATCAATGAGATACGATGAAACTCCTTGTCATGCTCCATCATGTCTTGTTGTGACATCAATGAGATATCATATAACTTCTTGTCCTGCTCCATCATGTCTTGTTGTTACATCAATGAGATATGATGAAACTCCTTGTCATGCTCCATCATGTCTTGTTGTGACATCAATGAGATATCATATAAACTTCTTGTCCTGTTCCACCATGGCTTGTTGTTACATCAATGAGCTATCATATAAGTTCTTGTTCAGCTCCATCATGTCTTGTTGTGACATCAATGAGATATCATGTAACTCCTTGTCATGCTCCATCATGTCTTGTTGTGACATCAATGAGATATCATATAAGTTCTTGTTCAGCTCCATCATGTCTTGTTGTGACATCAATGAGATATGATGAAACTCCTTGTCATGCTCCATCATGTCTTGTTGTGACATCAATGAGATATCATATAACTTCTTGTTCTGCTCCATCATGTCTTGTTGTGACATCAATGAGATATCATATAAGTTCTTGTTCAGCTCCATCATGTCTTGTTGTGACATCAATGAGATATGATGAAACTTCTCACTCTGCTTCACCACGATTAACTAGCATATAGTTATCTTATGGGATATCCGTTTTCCTAATCTACTTTATCTCTGGCCTTCCATTGAAAAAGTAGGGATATTTATTTGTTTAGTGAAACTAAACCTTCGGATGACATTTAACTAAAGAAAACCAGTCACCTAAAACAACTGCGTCAGTCCATCGTAATTACACGCATGCGTGTATTCGCTCAGTTTGATTGGAACAGTTTATACAATATCAGTAGTAAACAGATTTCCTTCATACCCTATGAAAGGAAACCAGTGTTGTGCACGAGCGCTTTTATAAAGAGCATCTGTCTGATTTACGTGGATCGACCTAAAAAGTAAAGATTGATCCTGTAGGATAAACCGCGAACATCTATGCGACAGGTAAGCTTAATATATATTAATGAAACTGGTTGAGTCATAACCAAAATACGTATTTGCGTTGAGTTATAATATTACACGTTAAGTTAATAACAGAACCTTGAGAGTGGGTAGTATTCCAGTCTTCTGAATTGGAGTTAGGAAAATAAATTATTAGATTCGTCATTTGTTTTAGTTTTCCTACAAATGCAACATCACGAATATGCAAAGTGACACTCATGTATATAGCTATTTCGAGTTTGTAATTTTGTATGGAAAGAGTTGTTTATCCGGTGTAATTTTATTGTTTTTCGTCAGTAAAAGACCGACATGTGTCGTAGCTGCTCAAAGAAGCCAATGTTTCATCAGTAAAAACAAAACAAAATATGTCATAGCTGTTTAACAGAAGCCAGTGTTTCGATATTTGTTATTACACTTATGTTCTCTGATTTTGGAATACCAATGTCACTGTTTATATTTGATTTAATAATTAAATGTAACCAACAAATATGGTAAATTGAATTTCTTAGTACAAATGGGCTACTAGCTGTGTAAGCCTGCAAAGTTCACACATTATTTAAATATCAGATTTATATTTCTGTTGCTGCGCACTCATCACAGAGGGCGTTAATGAAACACTTGGTTTTTCTTAATTTTTTACTGTTAGTAAATATAATGTTTAAGTCTGCTTACGCGATGACAGCGACAACACACCGAGATAAAATCAAGAACTGCTGTTCTCGCAAATAAATAAATAAGAAAATTCATTCCACTTTTAACCTCGCATTATTAGTATTTTAATTTCGGGCGTCATTTGTGTTTATTCATACATATCATAGCACGTATTTATTTTAATAAAGATTTCAGAATTAACTTCTACTTTATTCTTATATAAATTTAAGAGTTCTCGTCATTTGCTTGTTATGCAGGTATCAACAAAATTATAAGCCTAAATTAATAAAGTCAAATACATATTACAACACTATTTACTCATAACATATGTTTAAGGAGCCTCTCAGTCTCTATCCCTCAGTGGCACAGCGGTATGTCTGCGGACTTACAACACTTAAAAGCGGGTTTCGATACCCGTGATGGGTAGAGCACAAATAGCCCATTGTGTAGTTTTGTACTTAACTACAACTTCTCAGCCTCTAATACTTCTATATAAAAATAGGATTATGTGTGTGTATATGACTGCTAAGTTGAACTGTATTGTGAACATGGACTAATAGTGCGATCATACATTAGTAAAGCTAGTGAAAATAAACAAGTTAATATTACTCCATGAATTGGACGTGGCACGAAAAGGGTATATTAATTAAAAATGTAAACAATGGACAAAATTTAACATACTGTGAGTAATGCAACAACAAAGTAATAAGGGTTATTAACTAGGATTCAGTAAAAGTTCAAACAAAATAACAATTCCAGAGAGGGAGGAAGAGGTCTACGCTGAACCAGATCCAAAACATGGACCGAATTGCTATGAATAATAATAATAATTCTTGTTCCATTTGTTGTATCTTTGAAGGCGTATATTGGTCTGAAGGAAGAGTATGGGACCTTTATGGACCCAAATGGTTTTAAAACAACTTTTGAAATACATTTACGCATCAAATAATTTGTGGATCCATGGGTTTGTAGGCTACAGGGTTCCTAATAATATACACATAAAAATATAACCATCACTGTTACATTTAATCGCAATAAATACTGGGTTACATATCAAATGAATGATTTAATAAACTTTTTACTAGTTCTTTACATTAAATGTTGTAGCAGGAAAAATATATAATTATTCAGTATGATGTAATATGTAGATCCAACCAGCAGTGAACGAGATAAAACAAAACGCTGACAACTTGAAAGTTGATATATATTAAATAGAACAGTTTGTTGTTTTTGTGTTGTTGTTTTGTGTTGTTTGTTTTTGTTGAGGAAGACACTAGGTTTGGATTTTAATATTGAGTTCGCTATGATTATGTTACTGTAATTCGTTTGACAGTTTATACTTACAACATTACTTGATATTACTAGGTACTGTAGTATGTTGATACGGCTTTAAAAAGGTGTTATAGGAAACATTGATATGAATATGTTTAAGTTCTGCACTTCGAGTATAAAACATTGCTTTACTTCTTTAATAAATTATTACTAAAAATGTTTTACAAATATATAGCCCTCTTAGTTGAAGTTTTCTAATATTAATATTTCTAGATTATTAGTCCGGTCTCCAGAATACTGACTAACGTACCGGTACATAATGAACAAGGCTCTTCGCTTATATTTTATTAAATGTCCCTGAACTAAATTTATTACAAGCAGAAGTTCTAGACAATAGAGAAACATACTTCCTTGTAATATATGAAGAATTATTTTTGTTATGATTAAGTAAAGTTAAAACTAGTCACTACTATACCAAGAAATGCATCAAGTCAAGTATGGGAGAAGGAAATGATGTCAGTACCATTGACCTGTCTGCTTAGTCAGACCTACTGACATTATTTTCTCGTATTATTATATTTGATTTCCCGCGGAAATGCGTGGTTTTGATTTGTTTTGTTCTTTGGTTGAATGTGGGTGCGATTACAGGATACGCAGTGGAACATTCGTTCTTGTTACAGGTGGAGATAATTGCCGCCGACTCAGTTCAAGGTAGTAGATTTGGGAACAGACCTCCATCGTCCATCCTCATGTTGTACGCAAACAGAAAAACCGAACTATATCCAGATAGAAATGGTGCAAATATTTCAACCGTTACTGCTTTTATACTTCCTCTCAATTATCTGGCTATGCACACAAATAAACTCTCTACTTTCGTTTTCAGTTTTATTTTCTGACTGTTTTAAGACCTGGAAAATCGTAATTCTACGGGACTCCAGACGATATGTAATCAGCATCATGTCAATAGTTTATTAAGAAAACAGGCTGTTGATTAGACACTGGTTCTTTAATTAAATTTGATACTTCAGCAACACAGTAAATATGTGACGATAGGACTCCCCCTCCCCTGACTTAATATGCAAAACACTCTGAAACATGTTTGTGATATTTTACTCAGTAAGAAAAAGAAGAAGAAGAAACACAAAACAAAATTACTACATGGAAACTGATAAAGTATTTTATTTGTCTTAGGCATTAATAGTAAAAACTTTTATTTGTGGCTTTTTAGTTAAATATGTGTTGCCACCCCCTAATGGCTCAACGGTAAGTTTACAAGCTTATAACGTTAAAAACCGGGTTTCTATGCTCGTGGCGGGCACAGTACAAACAGCCCATCGCAAAACAAACAAAATCTGTGGATTTTTCGCATGATCATATCAAAAATGTCAGAATAAAAATTAATTCTTATTGAAACCATGATAAATAATGAGGGATATTGTTATCTCTTTTAAAATATTGGCTTTGTCCCTAAATGATTTTACTTGGTTAAACAATGGACTTTATAAATGTATATTGCTTTTAATTTTTTGGTGTTGTATATCAGTAAAACTGAGGATTTTTATAAACAAACACTAGGCTTGCCGAGCACAGTAAATGTGCTAAACAAATTTTTGTTTTACATTAAATATGTTGCTTTAAATTTTACTTATATTTTTACCGAAACAAATTTGAATAACATATTGCACAAGTATTAATATCGCTTTCTTCATGAGATAGCTGTATCTCCATTGTTAGTGAAAATAAGCTGTAATAATAGACTGTTCGTGACACTAACGACTTTACATATTTAGCAACCCCAAATGTGAGGAAGTTGTAATGATATTTTTTTTATACGCTTTGTAAAACAATTCAGTGAAAGTTAAGATAAAATGTACACAAGAATTCATTAAGCAATAGTTGTTTCATTATTTATTTCAAGAGTCTGTTTTGGTATGGTTAACGTGGGATCGACGTTTCGTCACACTCACATTTAACCTTCATTAACGTGCTGAAACGTCGAATCTGATACAGTCGTAACAAAGTTGAAAATAATCAATGACCACTGTCTTTTTTCCAATTTAATATTTATGTTGTACGTTTTAAAAGAATAAATGTTTGTTACCAAAATGTTATTTATTTTTTAACATTATAGAAAGCTGTTCTGAACCAATTAGCTAAATCTTATGTAGAAATTAGTATATTAATAAAGTTATGTTATGGATTTCGCGCAAAGCTACACGAGGTTTATCTTCGCTAGCCGGCCCTAATTTAGCAGTGTAAGGCAGCTAGTCATCACCAGCCACCGCCAACTCTTGGACTACTCTTTTACTAACGAATAGTGGGATTGACCGTCACATTATAACGCCCCCACGGCTGAAAGGTTTTGTGTGATTGGGATTCGAACCCGCGACCCGTAGATTGCGAGTCGAGCGCCCTAACCACCTGGCCACGCCGGGCCAATATTAATAAAGACGAATACACACAAAAAAAAACGCATTAACTTTCGATTTTTAGCTCAGAAAGAAGGACAGATTTTAAGAGTGAAAATACCATTTTGATAACTTGATCATATTTTACCCACTAAAGTATATGGCTGTATTTCTACTGTACTTTGTTGCAGACACTTGTCCAGAAGCCTTTGGTTTAATGTAAGACTTTATCTTTTCATTGTTTTGTAAACTGCACGGGGAATATGCATTAACAAGTTCATTCGGAAAATCGAATACAAAGTTAAACATTACAATAATTGTAAGTTATGAATAAATAAATGGTTAATACAGGGTGCGTTGTTTTGTCTGTTAGTTATAAGGTTCATTTATATAATATTTTTGCGAGTGAATTATACCGATTTAAATTTCTACTTAAATATAATTAAAAATGAATGTATTTATGTTATGAACATTAGTTACATATTATTTGTTTTGTAAAATGGACAAAGGCCACCTATTACTTTATTTCTCTGACATAAATGCCTTTTTTTCTTCTTCTTTCGAGCCCTCCAGTGGTACAACGGTATGTCTACGGACTTACACAGATAGCCCATTACAAACAATCAATATTTTTTGAAGTGTTTATATACATAAATGTTCGTGTAAATATAC